CTATAGTATAAGTTGAATGTGGGGATTTTGTATAAACCTCTTACAAAAGTTTTATCATGTGGAACTATGTTATAGTCGGCCTCTTTGCATTGAGGTGCCCGAGAGGCCATAGAGGAAGGTCGATCTGCCCATACATCGGCATCCGGGCATAACTATTTGTATCATATTAGGATGCTTGACACAGTTAATGTCACAAGTTAACAAGTATAGACTCGATCTAACAAATTACTTTAAAAGTTTTTAGTTAACCGGATATTGGTTTGGTTAATAAAATTAGGCGTAATATTAAAAAATGCTCTTAACATTTGATTAAATATACATTTTAGTATTTATTTTTTGAAATATATTATCTTAACGTTTCATTTTAAGACAAAAAGTCGTTTATGTTTTGATTGAATGGTTACATAGACTTGTTTTCTTTTTGAGTATTTTAGCCCCCAACAATTTATTTTAGATTATTGACCAATTATTTATATCTACATAGAGGGTTATTTGTCTCAAAATAAAATGTTGGAGTTAAAATATTCTAAAAAAGAGTACAAGTCAATGTGATTATTTAATTGAATGGTACTAAAAAATTTATCATTAAGTTATACAATTATTTAAAAGTTTGGGACTGAAGGCGAATATTTAGAAAAAGAGACTGTTACGAGTGTGTAGTGTGTGTATTAAGGTGTCTGGATAACCCCCGGTCCATTGTAGTGGGTCTCACGTGGGACCATTATAATGGCGTTATAATGGTCGATGTGACGAGTCTATTAAAAAATATTTTTTTAAAAAGTTAAAAAATAAAATTTATAAAAGAAAAAAATTAGATGGAACTCGACACTTTGACGTAACGAGTTCTTTCGAATTAAAAAAAATAATTGGTGGCTAGCCGTTGTTTAATGGAAAAAATGGCAGTAATAGTCACTTGGAACTCGTCACCTCGAGGTGATGAGTTCGGTTGGGGATAATTTAAAAAAAATTAAAATTAGAAGAAAAATTAATTTATTTAAATTTTACGAAATACAAAGTAAATTAATTGTAAAAAAATAAAATTTTACATGAAAATTACAAAGAAAATTTATCTCTGTCTTCTAAGTTCTTGACGATGTCACGGAGTGGTCGAATGATAATGTTGCGGGGGTCGTCGAGTACGCCGGGGTCGTAGGCCTTGATTGTTGTCGTCGTCGTCTTGCCGAGGAGGTGTACCCAACATTCTGCGATCCACATTCGAAATATGTGATGGATTTATGACATTTGACACCATCATTGTCGTAACTGCTTTGACTTGGCTGCTACTTTGTTGATCATATAGGATATTATCCCAGTCACCTGTAACTGAATTTTTTGTCGAAGATGCTTGAGTGTACTGCGACGCATCCCATTAACCTCCAACCCAATTCAATTTGAGTCTCGGCTAAAATATGAAATGGAGAAAAGAAACTAAAACTAGCCTGAGATGCATAATAGTACTCTTCAGCTGCAGATGCTGAAGCCGAAGACAACGACAACGATGCTTTTTTCTTGGACTCGGACTTAGCTCTTATGGCATGATGATGTTGCCATTCTCGCCTCTTTTCTGGTGTCGTTAGATATGGTTTCCCATTTGCTTCGTAAGTTCGGAGATAGGGAGAATAGTCGAATTCTAGGTCCAGCGGTGTAATATCGTGACGTAGGGGAGCAATAGTTCGCGTTGATTCCATAGGTTGATGTAGTAAGCGTGTTGCCCATGCCAATTTTCATTATGTTTCCCACGCGTATTGATTGTATGGAGCGTGTCTGTATCAACCTCTATTTGTGTAGGAATCGGTTGGTGCATCGCAAACTGGCGTATTACTCCATCAGCCACGTGCCACTCAATAATTGCTTGGTGCAATAACAGTGTCATGGCACACCATAAGTAGGACCCCTCGAAAATCGCCCCTGCAATACCTGGTTGATCTCCTCTTCAACATACGGAAGCCAAGAGAACTGTAAATATTAAATATCAAAGTTAGTATATATAAAGTTAAAAATATAAAAAATATATATAATAATTTCATATGTCATACCGCGAATCGACTGACAATGTCGATCCTCATCTGTATGTCTCGTGCAGTGGCACCCACCAACTTTGTCTCCAATATTTTATGATACCATCTAAAATATTTAAAAATAAAAAAATATTATAAACAAATAAAAATAAATAAATTTATGAAATTCAAAAAAGGTTAATTAAATTAAGTTAAACAATTACCTTCCAGCTAGCAGAAACTCGACCGAGGCTTCTGTAATTGGCGTAAAAAACGGGAAGTGATACCAAGCTCAGGACTATAACAGTATCAGAAGCCTACTACATCAGCTTTTTAACCCAGCGTTACAATTGCAGCCTTACAAAGCTCTCGGTACAAAAAGGCTAGAATTATCGAGCCCCAACTGGTATTACGACACACAACGAAGTCTTCCAAAATTTGTAGATACTGAGTGTGCACCAGATTACCGGATTTATCCGGTAATAATATCCCTCTGGTAATTTGGAGAAGAAATGCTCAAGACACAAAAACAACCTCCGCCTCGGTAGACTCGACAGTCACTTCGAATTGAACCTCCAACCACGTTATCATTACCCGATAGCCCCTCATGACTTCACATGGTGGCCATTTTCGTAGATCTTGGTAGACCAACGTCGAGGAGTCGTACATGTTTTGCCTCTCCGCGGGGGCTCCATTCACAGGAACACCGAGTTGGTAAGCGACTTCTTCCAAAGTAATCGTCGCTTTACCACTCGGAAAATGGAACGTGTGCGTCTTGGGGCGCCAACGTTCGATCAGCGCCTCGATCAATGTCAGGTACACCTTGAAGCCATGTAAAATATAGCCGAAAATAGACCAGATTGATGCAAATATGTCATCATCTGCTAATGCGCTCTCTGGTTGTCATCCCCCGACTACGAATATTCCATTCGTTGTTTTGGCCCGTGATGGATCAATGAAACATGAACGTTATCCAGACGCAACATATATTATCGGGTTGCCATTTTTTGAGATTTTCGCACAACATATTTTTTTTCTATTTTTAGGATTCAGTGGCCAAAACCCTGAACCCCTATTTATAGACTTACCTCCAATGGCTATAAACGGCTAGTGTTTTGAAATCCTCAGTAACTCGTCACCTCGAGGTAACTCGTCACCTCGAGGTGGCTAGTTTTTTTTTATTTCAAAGGAACTCGTCATCTCGACGTGATAAGTTCTATAAAATATTTTTAATTTTTGTAATTTTTTTAAAAAATATTTTAGGTGACGAGTCATATAACTTCATTCTAATAATGGCCCACATGGGGCCCATTACGTGTGGACCATTAAAAAATAATATCCCATGGAACTCGTCACCTCGAGGTGTTGTGGACTGTAGCATTTGTCGTATTTTGCTAAAAAAAGTTTGGGTAGGCCTAATACCCTAAATATTTTGCCCACCTGGGGTATTTGGCCAAATAAAACTGTTTTCACCTGCCTAATATTGGATCTGGACCAGTTTTTGGGTTCTATTGGCTAGGGGCTGTAAACGAGCCGAGTTAAGTTCTACAGTGTTGAGTTCAACTCAACTAGAAAAGTATAAAATTGAATTCAATACGATCCAAAAACTCATTAGCATATAATTATCAAGTTCAACTCAAATTTGAAATAAAAAATCGAAGTTCAACTCCAAAGCTTGCGAGTTTAAATTTTTTAAGTTCGATTCAAAATTAAAAATAGAAGCTAGACTTGAATTTAGAAAAATTTTGAACTCGAAATATTCTTAAACTTAGATCGATTGAAGCTCAAACCCTAACTTAAACCTTAAGTATATGAAAGTCATATATTGTATTTTTAAAAAGAATAACAATATATAAATATTAATATTAATAATAATTTAATTTAATTCAAAAAGTCTAAAATTTAATATATTATTTTTTTTGAGTTGCTTGCAAGCTTTTTATAGTAAGGTATCAAGTAGTTCATTTCATGTTAAGCATTCGAATCGAGTTAAAGCTCAAGTTGATTATATTCAATTTGAGAGTTGATTAAATTTTGATCGAGTCAATCTCAAATAATTCGTGGTCACTCTTATCTCATTTACTATCCTATTATTGACTGTACATTTTTGGTGTCGAGATCGAACATCATTAGTTGTAAACTTGAGTTTGGATGCTCTGTAATGCCTGATCCAACATCAGCTATTTTCGATACTAATTAAATATAAATAAAGAGATATGAATATACTAATATATATGAGTGTTCAATAATACATGAAAACTTGAAAAATGTAAACAACCCCATTCCACCATTCTATCCAATTTCAATTTGGTACGTTGAAACTGTAGAAAGTTTTGGGGAAACCCCCATATGTTTTTTGAACATATCCAACATGTTTTCAAAGAGACAGAATTAGACCACAAATAATTTTCTAAACAAATATTTAAGTTATATTTTTTATTTAACTAAAATATTTTTATCAAAATAAATATTAAAAATATTCACTTTTTTCATCTAGATATCGATTTTTTTTGTCAAAGTATCTAAAATATATTATATTTCAAATATATACTTTAAGGGGGAAAATTAAGAATTTAGATGATAGATAAATACACCGAGTATTTATTTTAAATAAAATTTATTTTAATTATTTAAAAATATATATTTTAAGTACCTTCCTTTTAAATAGGATTTTTTAAACGAAAACAAGTTCTTTCACTTCCCCCCAACTTTCTGTGTTGAAGGTCCAGTCCATATATTTTTTAAACTAATGGGAGAAGCGGTGAACTAGTGATTTTGATTAGTGGAAAGTGCAAATATAATGTGCTAAAAAAGAGTTGAAAGTACAAAATTGCTCTTGAAAATTGAATTGTTTTTGAAAGCTAAAGGATAAAAAAATAAAATAAAAATGTTAATATTCGTTTAAAATATTAAAATGAAATTTTAAACGAGATAATTTAAATGAAAAAAGGATACAAAATCAAGTAAATAAGAGGAAGTAGTATCTATCCTAGCTAACCCTTACACTGTGTAAACTAATATGGACATTCTCAAATGATTTTCTTTTAAAACCCTCTTATCTTATGTTTAAGACCAAATCGTCTACTTATCAATCCGTCATTGGAGGGCTGGTAATGAGCCAACTTTAGCTGCAATGGTGACGGAGCTGGTGGCGGATGCTGTCACTTTAACGTGGTCGCCGCCATGCGCCATGGTGGTGACACGCTCGCACCGTGGGCATGTCGTAAGGGCAAATGCAGGGAGCGGTTCCAAGCTGTGAGGCGAAATCACCGTCGGCGGCCCTACTTTCATGGCCATAAGCTCCTCCACTTCGTTTTGAAGCCGTTGGTTTTGTTCGGTCAATGACCCGAACCATCTCCTTAGGTACTCGCATTCCATCTCCGTCTGCTTCAGCTTGCTCCTATATTTGGTTGATTTGTCATTAACATATATATATATATACACACGAGGAAAAATTCAATTACACGACATAAAACTAAAAAAATTACACTAATTTAATAGTGTTAGATATGTAAAAATAAAAAATTGATATCAACACTAATAAATGATAAGATATTAGTTCAAAATTATATATTTAAAATTTAATTCTTATTATTTATTTAAAGATATATTTTCATAATTATGGGATGTAGATTTTTAAAAAATAACAATAATAATAAAGGAGTGGGGAATATAAATCTCTTAAATAAGTAAAAGCTTTTGGTAGTTATCTTTTTCATTAATTTAAACTTTTTTTAAAAAGAAATAAATTCAAAGTTGGATTTTATTCATATTAAATAAATAAAGAGCATTTATTGTGTTATTAAATGCTAAACTGTTACAGTAAATACAACCAAATGATCTATCAATGACTCAGAAAGCAGCAATTTCTATTTCAGTAATAATTCTGCAATCTGCTCTCAGTTCTATACACGTTTATTAAAGGCATGTCCAAAAAATGGTGGGTCAATGTACCACTTTATTCATTATTATCATTTGTTTTAGTTTTTTTTATATTTTTATAATCATCTATATATAATTTATTAAATAATTTATTCAGACTATATATTAAAGAAATTATTATAAGATACAAAATGTTAAGATCTAAATTTTTATACTTAAGAGATCTAACATTATATTTAAAAAAAGAACTTAATAAAATTTAATATTTAATATAAAAATTTGAATACGAAGATAAGAATAATATAAGATGATTATTTACATTTTTGGTGTAATATTATAAGTTGACTTTTAAAGAGACATGCAATATTGTCAATTGGAGCATTGATTATTATATATTTCGACGTTTTAGATTTTTAAGACAAACCATCATTGTTTTGATTATCAAGCTCTCCCATCTAATGAAGTCAAACCAAGTCATTTATTTTTCATAAGCTTGTTCATAGTTCTTTTAACCGACACATATTTACATGCATGATGTTAAAAAATAATTACTCTTTAAGGCCTTTTTTCTGCATTTAATACATGTATTGAATTTTAAAATACATATAACAAGAAAAATAACCCAAAATTAGCTAATTTCATTCCAAGTTTTATGATGTTAAAATTATTTTAGGCAAAAATAGTGAACTTTTCACTCCCTACATTAACGCTTATACTATGATACTAAATAGGTACGTATGTATAAACTGCAAAGAATTCCTTAATTTTATGTAAGAATATATGTAAAAACATCATCATGACAAAAAATATTCAATAATAATTAAAATGTGACGTTATAAACTCAAATTAAACTCATTGCAAAGATCATATATTATAAGAATGATAGCGATATATCAACTTCCCCGGACATAGAATATGTGTAGATCTGATTCAGATTCTATATACTTTCTGATATTCTGTCAATATTTTTATGATATTTACCCTAATCTACTTTATATAATAAAATCCCAGATTTGTTATTAAAAAAAAGTGAAATAATTCAATGAATAAATGTATACTGTGTATTATTGTACCTGGCTCGACGATTCTGGAACCAAACCTCAACCTGTCTGGGCCGAAGCTTCAGTTCCAAAGCCAATGCTTCTTTCTGTTTCTGGGGAAGAAAAAGGTCAAAAACAAGTGATGATGATCTGATCAAATCATTGGAGATTTTGAGAACAAAAAGGCTGGGTTTTTGGCGTGCTTGACTTATTACGTACAGGGTTTAGGGTGTGGTTTTGTCTGAAACTTTCTTCGAGCAAACGAGACTGTTCTTTTGAGAGACGAAGCTTTTTGCGAGGAACGAGGTCACTGATGGTCCCTTCATTGATGGTTGATGGTGTCATCCATTCGTCTTCGGATCCTGCTGGTGGAGGCACTTGGTTTATATCCAAGTCTCGCACTGTATAAAAAAAAATCAATCCATGTTATTGAAGATCGTCGTATCAAAAAGGAAAAACAAAACAAAGGGGGAAAACATGGGAATTTCGAGGGAATTGAGGTTGTCTTCTTGCTTACCGGAAGAAGGGACAGATATTGTTAATTCCAAGTTAGAAGAGGTCCGTGAGAGGGCCATGAAAGTTGCAGAGAAAGAAAGGAAGGGATTAAGGGGTTAATTTAAAGACTGAAAAAATGGTAAAGTTTCTTTTTAATAAATAAAAAAGGAGATAAATAAGGGATATGGAGATGTTAGAGAATTTAATAGGAAAGGAAACGATGGGAAAGAAATATGGGATAAAGGTCAAAGTAATTAATATATATAATAAATTAAATTAAATCATATATTTCTTTTTATAGTCCAGCCGATTATAAAATAATATTGTTTAAAATCAATTAAATTATTTAAATTCATATTAGATAAACATGTCAACTTAGACAACTATTTGATTTTAATTTTTTTAATAGTCTAAGGTGATTATAATATAGTATTCACTGACGGAACCGGTACTTATTGAAGGGTGCATGTCAATTAACACTCCAAAATTTTTAAAATTATTTTTTCATATAAATTATATATATATAATATAAAAAAAGAAAAATGACACCCTTTTAATAAGATTTTTACACCCTTTGAAAAATAAAATGATCCCATCTTTTTAAAAAATATTTAATAAAAAATTAAACTTAATTTTCCCGCTTAAAATAAATTTTTACATAATTTTTAAATTTGATTCCTCAAAATAAATTTTCTAACTCCGTCCTCATTGTATTTGTTCAATATTTCTTAATTATTGATGTTACTCACACTTTAATAATACAAACGCTCTAATTTACATCTTCTAGAATATAATTTGTTTTATTAGATTAAAATCTTATTAAAAAAATTGATATTTTTTAATTATATATTTTTTAATTATATTTAATTTTAAATCTAAATAAACTTATTAAATTATTTGAATTTACATATAAACTTGTCAAGGTGGACAACTGTGGGTATAGATTTTCCTTAATATCTTAATATTAATAAATGGGAGTTGTGATATTTGACTGTGGTCGTTAAGTCAACAGGTTTGACCCGTCTGATACGAGACACGTGTATATGTATAAAATCTATGCTGAAAGATTTATCGATCAAAACTAGGTGTACGATAAGGGTCAGTCTAGATTAATCAAAATAAAATATTGAAATCAAAAGTAGAAATTACAGTTATTGAAAAGGATATTGAAGAATTGAATGCTACTTTACTTGTTTGACAGGTTCAGAGCAAACTGTAACGTCCAAATTTACACAAAGTGCATACATACGTAAATAAAATATAAAGCATAACGGTTAAATTATTAAAAATAAATGTAATAATTAAATTATCCTTAGTTAATGTCGTCTGTACTTCACACCTCAATTTTGCAAAAATAATTCATTGATTATGTTTTTTTGGTGGAATTGAGAATTCCAAGTGTGTTGGTGTGAACCCTAAAGAAGGGTGATTTGTTACCATTTCAATTAAGACAATTAAATAAGGAATTAATGGCGATCAATTAAAATTAAGATTAAGCTTTGACCTACTAATTATATTAATTAATGAAAGCAAATGTGGGTTGTAAGGAAATTTGTTACCCAACTTTGGTATGGCCAAATTTGACATGATCATCCCCACCCACCCCCATTCACTTGTGTCAAGATTAAATTAAACATATTGCAAATTAATCAAATATAATACTTTTTGGAAATTTATTTATTAATTACGTTTTCTTTAAATTTAATTTTATTTGAAGGAAAAAGCAGTGAACCACCTTATTTTTGACCCATTGTAAAATTGGCAACTTTTAATTAATTAATTAATTATCTCTTAAGAAATATCTTATTTAATCCAATTTTTCAATATTTGAATTATATTTTTTAATAGTCAAAAGTGATTATAAGATACTATTTGTTTAGAATTTTTTTAATCTATTGACAGTACACATACATTCTATAGACATAGCTACTCGAATTCAATATATGTAAAGAGAATAACATTCATTTTTATCACTAAAGTCACTTGATGAATTGAAGTTGAATTATACTTTTAGGGTCTGTTTGTTTTACGTAAAACATTTTCCGGAAAATATTTTTCTCATTTTTCAGTGTTTGGTTGGAGGAAAAATGATTGGTCAACGTAAAACATTTTCCTGACCAACAAAATTTCCTTTGCATTTTCTGGAAAATGACTTATGATCTGATTTTTCGTAAGTCATTTTCCAAGCTTTTCATTTCAAATAATAAATACTTAAAATAATTTTATTTTATAATTTGATATTAATATAATATTTTAATATCATTTTAATCAAAAAATTAATTATTAAAATATTTTAAAAAATATTTATTAATATTTCTAATAATTTAATATTATATTTTTAATATTATAATAATATACTCAATTATATAATAATAATATATTATTTTATATTTTTATTTTAATATTATATAATGAATTATTAATACAATTTATATTGTTTATTAATTTCATAGAAATAATATTATTAAATTATTAATAATGAATAATATTATTTATATATTTAATATTAATATAATAATATTTTAATAAAGATATTTAAAATAAATTAATTAGTTTTTAAAAAATATAATATAATATAATACTATTACTTTAATAAATAATTAATATAATTTATAATATTTTTATTTCAATAGAATGCATTAATCTTAATATTTGTATTAAAAAAATTATAGAACTAATAATTTAATAATAAATAAATAAATAAACTATTCTAATATTTTAGAAACAATAATATTAAATTTTTATGATAAATAATATTATTTACTGTATTTAATATTTATAATAAATAATTTCTAAAAAAATCATCAATAAGTAGAAAATGATTTACACAACCTCTTCCAAACACTGTAAAACATTTTTCATAAAATGTTTTTCAAAAGATGTAATTTATTTTATGAAAAATATTTTCTGAAAAATATTTTCAGTGAAAGAAACGAATAATAATAAATAATTGTAACTATTTGACTAGTTACCATTGATAGTCTACTTTTGAAAAAGATATTGTGTGGATTCTTTAGAATTAGAATATTAATAGGATAGTATTCTATTAGTTAAGAATTTATATTTAATTAAAATGTGAATATATTATTATGAATTTATATTAGATTGAAATAGGAATATATTAATTATAAATTTATATATGATTAAATATAAATATATTAAAATACGAATTTTTATTCAATTATAATACATTATTGTAGTTCTGGAATGATTTTTTTTTTCTTTGAGAACTTCCTATAAATATTGTGTTAACCTGCTAGGCTAAACACAAGTTTACATCTTACAAGTTCAAAAGTAAAAAAGGTTTCCTCTATTAGTTTTCCGATGATTATGGGTGTTAAAAAACATAACTATTAACCGATATAACTGTTATATTTATCATGTTAATTAACCGGATTGTTAATACTAAACGATTTCAGTTAATCGACCCGCTAAAAATAATGGTTAACAGTTAAGATTACAGTTATAAATTTCGATAAACGGTTAACCGTTAATAAATTAAATTTATAATTATATTTCTAACTTATAATATTTTTACACATTTAATTTAATATAATTTAATATTATTTCTAATATATATTAATAAAATTTATACACAACTAATTTAATATATATTATTTATTATTTATTATTTCTTTGAAAATATAAAAACATACTTACCCTAATATAATTATATATTTAATGTTAGGTACCAAGATATTGGGAGATGTACATACTTACATCGGTATATGTATGTGTTAAGTGTTACACTTTTTTATTTCATTCACTTACACCAGTATAAATATGTGTTAAGTGCTACATTTTTTTGTAGTACGAATTATAAATTTTTTTAACAAATAATTATAATAGGTTGACCATGGGTTAACTTATAACCGAACTGTTAATAATGGTTAAATGGTTAGGTTAAAGTTAGAAAAATCTCGTAACCGTATAACTATTAATCGACCGTTTAAGCTAAACGACACGGTTAACCGTCCATGAACAACCCTACCGGTGATAGCGAAGGCAAGTATATAGTTCATGATCTCTGCAGTTGTGTTACTGTAGTCATCTAGTTATTGTATCTTGGGAGATAGAAGACCAAAGATCTCGAGCACCAAGGACTTGCCAAAGATCTATCTTAAGGAAACTGTGTATCAATGGACCTCGGGTATTTTCGATCAATGGATCAATAAAAAAATATTTTATTTCTATAAATTTTATTTATTATTTAAACATTTTGATTTCGTTTATTTTATCTTCTCAGATGTGATTATGGTCTCATATTATTATACTCAACAATTCTAAGACAAAATAAACTCATTCTTCTCAAATGTGATTATGGTCTCAGATTGTTATACTTCTAACAATCTTAAGACATAGTAAAATCATTCTTCTCATATGTGATTATGATCTCATGTTATTATACTTCTAACGATGCAAATGAGTATTATTATTATTGATAAATAGAATATGGGTGGTTTGATTAATAAGGCTATACCGATTAATCAATTTTTGTATTATTAAGCGCAAAGATATTATTAAAATGAGAAAAGGTCTGTCCTTGCTTCCTCCTATCAATCATGGTACATGGTTGGTTTAATTTCAGCCTTCACTGCCTTATATTTTATTTTTTTAAATTACTTACAGCATCATATCTATCAATTGATTAATGCAGATCATATATTAAATTGATCTACATAAGAGGGATTTTATCAACTCAATTTACTCTATTCATAATAACATGATTCAAATATTAAACTTATTTAAAAATTTATGTTTCATCCCATTATACTAACTAATTATTTGTATAGTTTGCCCTATTTTTTATGAGATAATAAGAAAATAATTGAAAATTTTAATATAATTTATACGTACAATTTAACTTTTAATTCAGTTATATATATATATATATATATTAGGTCGATGTTACATAACTACTCGTAGAAGTTTATAAAATTGAGAAGAAAATATTTTGATCTTCTAAATAAAATTACTAATATAGCATTATAAACATATCATCGTAATTTTACTAATAAACACAATCAACGTTCTATAATAGTAAAATATATTTTTGATAAATGTAAATATTATGATTTTT